CAGCATCGAGAAAGAGGAGGAGACATCGAGGCGAGGCAGTAGAAGACGAGGAGAGAGATGTAACACTTGATCTACTTTTAAAACATCCAAATAAAAAATATTTGCAACATATGTTCGAAGCGGTTAAAACAATTGCAATATATGTGTGAAACACTAGTAAAAACACCTTAAAAACGCTTGAAAAAAGCCATTGCAAAATATGCAACATCTTGATCTAGCTTTGCAGCATTCATATGAAACACTTGCAACATACATCTAAAACATTTGAAACACTTGAAACATATACTTACAACATGCGCTTTCAAGCGCAACATCTACTTGCTGCTTGGACGAATGGAGGCTCATCGACGCAGAGCTCGACGCCGGCTCAGAGCTCGATGCTGCGGAGTCGCGAGGGAGGGGGATGCCACTGGGCGGGCGGCTGGGCGCAGCCCCGACGATGAGCGGCTGTGCCGCACTAGTGACAAGACAGGCGAGCGCGGTCCCTGCGGCGACGCACCCCCACAGTGTGCTAGAGAAGGGGAGGCAGCGGGCGCGAGACCTCAGGAGCCTGCTGCTGATGTTGCCTCTCCTCTATTGGTGGCGGGGAAGGAGGAGGGATGGCGAGAGCGGGAGGTAGCGGCATGAAGCCGACGTGGAGTAAGGGACAGGAGCAGGAGCAAGGAGGAGAGCGAGACCGGGGAGAGCACGAGCAGTAGCACCGGAATAGGAAATCGACATCTTGTTTTTTAGATGGAAAAGCCATGAAGGGAGCATTAGGGGAGCAGGTATATTGGGCGGAAGGGGCGCGGACAAGAGTGGAGAATCCGCGTCCGTCCGTCCGGACGACCTAAGGAGAGCATTATCATTTTGACCTAGAAAAAACTACCATTTGAGTGTTTTTCACTATTTGATTTGAGTTAATTTCACGGATCTACAACTTTTTTAAACAACTGTAAGAAGCTACTCCCTCCATCCATGAGATGATATTTTTTATATTCAAATTATGTACACAAATATAAGGGTTTCTTAGTAACCAGTCAAGGGTTGACTGAAGCCGCTAATAATCGCGTAAATCGATAATCAGCCTGTTCGGTTGACTGGTTCGTATCGTTGCTGGTTCGTTTATGTGAGAGAGAAGTACTGCTGGCTGGTTCATATGAACAGTGTTCATGTGAGAGGGCTGGCCAGCCCAGCCAGCCAGCCACCCCCAGCCGAACGGGCTGAATGCATGCATGATGGTTTTGGGGAGAGGTTTGAAATGGTTTTCCCTCTCTCCTTAATTTTTTAATCTTAAAAGTTATAGAAACTCTTAGGACCCGTTTAGTTCTGAGATAAGAGGTAAATTCATTTAGTATTTTTAGGATAAGATGTCCCTGCTTTGTGTTTCGTTGGAGGGATATAGATGAAGTGGATACATCACTATTCGTATTCCGCTAGACATTCGTTAAGTGGGACCCACATATCATCATCTTTCACCTTCTTCCTAACTTCTTCGACAAAATTGCCCAACCAAAGCAATCAAGGCCGTCGTGCCATGGTCGAGGCTGAGCTCGCTCGCTCGTGTCAGGGCTGTGCCTGCTAGAGCTAGGGTCAAGCTTGCCCTCACCGAGGTCACGCCTGCCAACGGGAGGAGAAAAGAGGAAGAAACATGCGGCAACGAAACAGAGAATGGCATCACGATGGGACGGGCTCGTACCTCAAATTTGGAGGTACACCTAGAGACAACATCTCATAAGAATTTTTGCTCCCAAGGATGGTTTCATATTCCACCTGCCCCAAAATCAAACACATGATCAATCTCGCCTCCAAACTAAACAAGCGTGTGGGTAGAGGGAGTACAACCTATGAGGCTGATTTCTTGATTGTTTGCTCAAACCGTGGTAATTTTTAATTAAATTTTAGGGTTTAATAAAACCGTCACATAACGCTTTGTTGATTTTAAAATAATAGCTACATTATCCACCAATATATAGCTAGTTGTATACAATACATAAAGCACGGTGGTTATTCAACTTGGCACCCAAAATAGCTGACTCTTAAACTAGCTCTAAGCATTTTTTCGTATTTAAATAGAAAAGAGAAAAAAACTAGCTCCTGATCAAGAGCTAAAGCTAAGCTCTTGCACTTATTTCAAGGTTATGTGAGAGTACCATATAGGGATATACATGTTAAAAGCTATGTGCTAAAAGTTAGCACTATTGGAGAAGTTGACTTAGAGCTAGTAATTATGGATGCCCCATAGACGGCTGAATACCCCGATGGAGGATGGACCTCAATATCCAAAGTTTACCCTACATGCTGAGCTTCGCCATTTGGCATCAATAAACGAGCTCCTTATATCAAAAGAAGAAGAAAAAGTCCTTGCAATTCGCATTATACGTATTTCTCACCGGATGTTCGTTAGATAAGCGTGGGCTCAACACACACGGGTCGCGCAATCTCTGAAAATACTATACGGATCTCATCTCATCATTACACGCCCGCAAAGAATGTTCTTTTTGTGTCTGAACCCTTTTGTCTGGACCAATCATTATCACTACAGTACTCGTTTCAACGTGACGAAATCTCCTGAGCCATGGATCGAAACAAAACAAACTGGCCTTCACGTAGCGCAATGCCGACAAGACGATCACGACTCGTCCCCCACGCTACATGGCCGCACGTCGGCACCATTTTTTTAACACGCTGACGGCTGACCCTCACCCTGTCACGTGTATATAAACCGCGCGCCTCCCGCCACTTCCACTCAACCAGAGCTCAGCCATTTCCATCGATCTCCTTCTCTGAGATCCGCTCCCAAAGCAACGATGGCGGCATTCCTCCCCATCGCCGTCCTCCTGTCCCTCCTCGTCACCGGCGCCATGGCCGGCGGCTACGGCAGTCAGACCCCTAGCCCCTCGACACCGGCGCCCTACACCCCGACGGCCGCCACGCCACCTCCGACGCCGACGCCCGCGCCCTATACCCCACAGCCCGCCACGCCAAAGCCGGCGCCGGCCGCGCAAGGCTACGACGACAAGAAGCTGGTGGTGGTGCGCGTGGAGGGCCTGGTGGTGTGCCAGAGCTGCGCGAAGATGGGCTCGCAGAGCCTGGACGGCGCGGCGCCGCTGCCGGGGGCCAACGTGACCGTCACCTGCCGCGACAGGAAGAACCGCGTCATGGCGTACCGGCGGCGCGTCGCCGACTCCAACGGCTACTTCCACGCCGAGTTCGGCGTCCAGCGCGCCGACGGCTACTTGGACAAGGACCCCCGCGGGGCCTGCTTCGTGCGCCTGCTCTCGTCGCCCGACCCCAAGTGCAACATCGTCACCAACATCCACGGCGGCTTGGAGGGCGCGCCGCTCCGCGACGAGGGCAAGCAGTGGACCGACGGCCGCGGCTTCAAGAACGTCGTCTTCGCCGCCGGCCCGCTCGCGTTCAGGCCGAGGGAGTGCGCGCCCACGCACCACTACTGAGCGCACGCGAGAACAGTGTGCTGTGCCACGACCATGATGAGCACGCGTACGTGTGCTCTGGTGATATGAGAGAAGTGATTCAGGTTCTGTTTCGGAGTATGAATGACTTCGATTTCTTTTGTTTCTTGATTTTCCCTGTTTCAGTTGGTGTTTAATTTGTTGTTTGCAGTGTGACATTCTCTGTAAGCTAATTTGTAAACTTCAAGGTTCAAGCCTCCGAATCATGGCTCTCTTTGTATACATCTGACCGTTTACAATATGATACCAGACGGTCGTATCTGAGCTGTGTTAATTTCTTGTTTGTTTTTCTTTTGAGAAAGTAATAAAAATTCAGACATGTCTTACAGTTCTTTTACTAGTGGCACATGAGATTTTACAGCCTGAGAATGTTAGCGCGTGTAACCACTGGGGAACATGGTCTTGGATGCGTTTGACAATTGCAGTAGTAACATTCTGATAAAGATTCGCAACTGAAGACCTGACCTGCTTGGCAATCCGCTTCCTGATTGCCATGTCTCGATATCTGATCTAATCCTGCGGAGATCGGACTAGGTAGCGATTAGCTTCATCAGAAAGAATATTTGTCATATTTACCTCGTGACTCTTGCTCGGTTGAATGAATGAAATTGACACTCTCTCCTTAAAATAATGACACTCTCTCGATCCAAAAAATCGTTACCTCAAGAAAGAAATTATTATACCCAGTTATGAACAAATAACCAGCTCTATATTTATTTCAATGTATATGTAGTTCTCTCTCATTAAAAAAACTTGGGGAGTACACTCTGACTTGTGGGCCCGCAATGCCACCCCGTTCCTCATTCCTTCCGTTCCGTCGCTCGATTCAGCCCAGCGGAACAGAACGGTGAAATTTCCCAATCGAAATGCCTTCCCTCTCCAACAGGATAGCTGAATTTTCAGGCGATTTCATCTCATCGCCGCTACAAATGGCCACGCTTTGAGTTTCGGCCTTGCCTTTGAGTATTTGATTGGTTTCGAGTGACCTAGGGTTCCGCGAGGGCGTTTGCAGTTGAGTTGAGATGCTGACGCCGTGGATTACCGCGTGTGCGTGGTCGGTCGGCTCCTCCCAGGCATGGAAGTCGCCGGTGCGCGCGGCCTGGCGGAGTCGCGAGCACACTCTTCAGGAGCCCAGGTTCGGACAGACACTGCTCCCCACCCCCACCCAAGAGGTCAGTGTTTTATGGACTTCTGGCGAAATTGGATTCTCATTTTCTTTACAGTTGGAGTAAATTGCATCCATAATTTCAGATGGTTGCAGTCAAGTACAGTTCTGAGCTTTGTTCCAAGCATTTATGTTATTTTTTTGTTGCTCATAGTATTAGTTATGGCGTGTATGTTGGGAGAACTGAAGATAGCAAAACAATATTGTCACTTTTGGAGGATATAATGTAATGAAAATGAACTAGAAAACCGCAACCTTATGAGAACAAAATGGTTTTAATCTGTCTTGTCTGACGACTACAAGGATAAAATACTACATATCTGCCTCTCCTTTTATGGAAAATATAATATAATGCCATACATGTAATTTGCATAACTATATCACATACGAATACAGAAATGCTTGCCAACCCATCCTTCTATGTGGAAAAAGCGTCTGAACATGATCGCCAATGTGAAACCCACTCCAAACCCCAAACCAGAAAAGGTAAGCAAGAGGATGGCCTCAAGTCTATCCTGCCACAAACCACTGGGTTCTTGTGATATTATTGGGGTTGTTGAATCTGGGCCGTCACATTGTGTAGAGAGTGGATTTCCACAGAGTCCAGTGTTCCCTTCAAATGAGGTACTGGGAAATGAGAGAAATTGGTTTCCTTGTGGTATTCTTCCTGTCAAGTTGTTGTATGAAAGGTTCAACCAAGAAAGAGAAGTTAGGGAAGTTAGCTGCTGCGGGATTTCCCCTGAGAGATGGTTCCATGAGAGATCCATTGATTCTAGCCGAGTCAGGTTACCTAGCTGTGATGGAATTTGCCCCATGAAGTTGTTGTATGACATGTTAAGCCCATGTAGTGAAACCAGACTCCCAATTGACTCGGGAATGTTACCGACAAATGAGTTATTTGATAAATCAATTACTTTGAAAGTGGTAAGGATTTTAGTGAAAATAAGATCGGACCCTTTATATGTAATAGTGATATCATCTCGATAGAATCCTACTTCTACGTTTATCTGATGTCCAACAACTTGTCCATCATCGTTGCCATTCTCCTTCATTGATTCCAGTTCATTAAACCATTCTTTGGGCAGGTTTCCAGAGAACTGGTTGGAGGCCAAATCCAGTATTTGCAGACTTGAGAAGTGGTTCATAATTTGGTCATTGTCTTGAAGATCTGTAATCAGGCCAGAGAATTGGTTGGATCTTAAAACAAGAACTTGAAGTTTAGGAAGTGCTCCCAGCCAGGATGGAAATGAATCGGCAATCTGATTGTCACTAATATCGAGCAATCCTAAGTCACGGCAGTTAGATAGTGATCTAGGCAGTTTCCCTGAAATGTAGTTGTGGCTCAAGTCTATTGTCTCAAGCATACATCCTTCTCTGATGCCATCAGACAGTACCCCGTGGATTTGGTTCCCTCTTAATTTCAGTACTCCCAATTTACGTTGAGCTAAGCATGATGGGATCACTCCACTAAAGTAGTTGTAAGATAAGTCGAGGATCTGGAGTTCACTTGCATTGCAAACTGAAGTGGGTATGTGGCCTCTTATTTTGTTACTGGACAAATCAAGATATGATGTTTTCCCGAGATATCTACCTACGCTGGGCAGGATGGAATTGAAGTAATTATTTGAGTAATCCAAGATGATATCTGTGCGTCCAGACCTTATGATTGGTATTGGCACATCTCCTTCAAGTCTATTGTAGCTTAGATCCAGAACATATATAGATCCCATTGGAACAAGAGAGGGAGATTTCTCCAAACCGGTAAACATGTTGTGAGAGAGATTCAAATAGCTAAGGTGACCATTCCAATTCTCCCATACCCAACTTGGTATAACACCGTTGATCTGATTGCTTGAGAGGTCTAGTTCCGTAATCTCATTCAGATATCTCAGCACACTTGGAAGTTTTGTAAGGTTGCATGAAGAAAGCATCAAACTTTGAATGGGAGGCAGCGAAGGAAACAGAGAATCACCTTCTTCATCTATCAAATATAGCATGTTATTCGACAGAGTCAGTGAAAAAAGATTCTTAAGCCTCCAGAAAGAGCTAAGGTCCACTGTGCCTGTCAATTTATTTGATCCAAGGAAAAGACCTTCAAGGCTTGTAAGCTGAAAATACGATTGAGGTATCGAACCACCAATCTGGTTATCTGTCAACTCAATAAAGGATATGGATGAAGACAAAGGAGTTTCAATTTCCTCTAGATGACCAGAAAGTTGATTTGACAGGAGACGTAATTGCTGAAGTTCAGGAAGAGCGAACAAAGATCTTGGAATTTTACCTGCATGTAAAAGGTGACTACTAGTTTAGAAAATCAATGTTCTTTGATTCATGATAATTGTGTTGAATTAAATTTAATATGTGAGTACCAAAATAGCCATCATTTAAACTGAGCATGTGGGAACTGGGAACATCACATTACATTTAAGGATTCAGTGAAGGACACCAATGTGAATAAAAAATATGTTAACAGCAAGAAACAAGTTTTAACTAGAATACCCTTTATGTACTATTGTCAATTCAATACAGATGAAAGTAGGTCACTAAATTAGAATTACTGATGAGTGAGAACCATCAGATTATGTTAAACTTTTACTTCTGTAGTGTAAGCACAAATAATATTCGAAGTACCTTGTTAATTCTTCAAACTTTGGGGTTCACATGTGACCTTATGAATCTCTAAATTCAGACTAAGCATCCTTAGATTAACATTATACCATCACTAATGTGTAGATAGTATTTAGTAAGTGCAAATGTGCTATAGTAATGAATGAAAAAGAACCAGGGACAGAAGTCAACAGTTCAAGATTTTATTTGTTCCTGTGGACCAAACTAATACAGTAACGTTACCATTTTCTCAGCAAGTTAGAGTACAAGGAATGGAGCAACACATGATCTGGAGTTGCTTTCATCATTGGCTGTATTATAGTGTATTTTAATATTCATATATGTGGGAGGTTACCAGCAAATTAGAATACAATGCACATGTGGGAGCTTACCAGTGAGGTAGTTTTGACCGAAGTGTATGAATGAAAGTTGGGTCAAGTTGCCAATCCAAGGGGGTATTGCTCCATATAAGTTGCACATTACGAGCTCCAGGGACACCAAATTGGTAAGATTGCCGATCCAGGAGGGTATTGGCTCAGAGAAATTGTAGTTATAAAGCTCCAAAGTGGTCAAATGTCTAAGATTCCCGATCCAAGAAAATCCAGGCTTCTCTAAACCAGATGACCCCAGGAGCATTAACACTTCCAGAGAGGGGAGCTCACCAAATAAGGAGAGTTGCTTGGAAGTTCCATCTGTTGAAAGCACCAAAACACTCAAAGACCTGAGATTGACAATGGACTCGGGCACCGCATCAGAAAAATTTGTCCCTGCCAGAATGAGCTGTTCCAGTTTATTCTCAACTGGAAAATTTGGTAAGTGCCCAGAAAGCTTAGGATTACCAGCCACGGAAAGAACCCTCAAATGATTTTGCTGGAATATCCTTGCGGGAAACAGCCCTTCAAAATCATTGCTTGTCAAGTCAAGTTTGCTCAAGAAAGGGAAGTCAACAAAGAACTCAGGAACCTCACCAACTATTGTGTTTCCTGTGAGGTCGATCTCGGCTAGTGAATGGAGTTGTGAGAACGAACTATGAATCGATCCAGATAGACCACAATTACTCAGTGTGAGAATCTCTAGTCTAGGAGTGGAGTTAGCCAAAGCAATGGACCATGTTTCCCCACTGCTGGAGATATCCACTCCATCAAGACTGAGCTCTTGTAAACTGCTGAGGTTTGCTATGAGTGTTTGAAAGCTCGGCTCCTTGAGAACCAAGTTGGAAGCGTAAATTATGGATAAGTTAAGCGTGACCAGCTTCGTGAGCTGGGCTATGCCGATGGGGACCTGACCAATGAAACCAGTATTGCTCAAGTCTAGGTGAACCATCTCAGTGAGGAGCTCAAATCCAACCGATGGCATGCTCGCTCCCATGAAGTCACTGCTGGCAAGGCTAAGGTTTCTCAGTGAGGTGAGGTTGAAGAGTGCGGGATCAAGGCCCCGACTCTTGACATCAAACTCACTGAGATCCAACATGATCACCTGCCTGGTGGTCGTGTCGCAGACGATGCCCTCCCAGCGGCAGCAGTCCGTCCCTGCTTGCCATGACGTGAGGTTGGTAGAGTTCAGGAAGGACCGCTTTAGTCGGAGCAGGGTGGAAGCATCAGAAGGGAGGCATGTTACGGTGGTGTTAGTGTTACCGCCAGCAGAAGTGTGGATGGAGCAGAGTTTCAAAACCAGGAGCATGAAGACTAGGGATTTTGAGTGTCCAGAGCTCATCATGATATCTCCTGTACGCTGCTGGTTTATTGCTTGGGATGGTGTTCCAGTACCTCGAGGGCTCAAGCCATATATGTAGGCCACAAGTGAATAGCCTTATTTGTTTTTCTGATCAACAATGCATGTATGGGGCCCCATGAAATTATTGTGTGTACTCAGAATTATTTTGACCTGCAACTTGCCACCGTGATGGGTTCAGGTGTTGCTTAATTTGGCACTGATTGTGATTGAACTCTTCTCCATCGAACTCATGGAGAAAGAGCTTTATAAAAAAACTTGAAAAAGTCAACCTGATGAAGAGGCGCAGCAACATTTTCAGCTGATGAAAGACTGGCAATGATGCCAATTACTCATGACCAGCGAGGCAAGCTGAAAACTAGAGCAACTTGAATTTCTTTTTGTTGATCTTTTATAGGGTAACCTCTTTATTCTCTAAGTACTGTTTTGACTATAAGGATAAGGGATAATTTGACAAAAATCTGTTGGAAGGAGTGCATTAAGTGCTGTTTGTTGGGTATGAGAAGACTATTCAACACCTTTTTTCGATTATGTATAGAAAGGTCATTTTGGAAAGTGGTGTTCTTTTTACCATTTTTAATATTCAACCTCCTGCTACTGTAGCTTATGTTTGGTTCTTGTTTGCAATATTTTCTTCAGAGTTTTGAAATCAGATTGGCGTTGCGGTCCTGTGCTAGGCTATGTGGTTGTGTAGAAATGATTCTGTCTTCAAAAGGACTACATCTCATTCATTCTGGCTGCCTTGCTGGTTAATTTTGGGGATGTATTGGATCAAGCAATGGCCACAGCTGTCTCAAGAGTAAGGGAGAATTTCACTGAGGTCCCATTTGGATCCTTGGAATTGAATTCATTTTAACAATCATAATTTAGACACAAATTAATTAAGCTAATATAATTGTATATGAATTATATTTGTATATTATTGTTGGCTATATGAGAGAGATATTTATGTGTTGCATTCTATGTGAGTTGAAGAACGTGTTATAAGTTATAGAATAGAAACATAGGATGATAATCTATAGAATAAATTTTCATCTTCCACCCTATGAATTTGAGATACACTTATATGTGAAATTTAGAAAGTACTGGAATGTCAAATTCTAAGCCAAATAGCCTAATTTATTAAGTATGTTTCAATTCCTTCAAACGAAAGGATCCAAATGGCCCCTAAAGGAAGGCTATCGCTTGCTAGAGATTATGGTGCTCGAATTCTTCAACGAATTTGGATGGCAAAACAAGAATAACATTGAGGGTGGAGTCTTGTTTCTTTTGTTATGTCTTGAACCTTTGTATCGCCATACTGTGGAGTATGGTCTAACTAATATTCATATTCCTTTTTTTTAAAACCTCTTTATTCATATTCTGAGAATGTCTCCTTTGGATAAAGTCAATTTGAGTTGAAGTGGTTAGGACACCAGGATTGAAGTCGTGGGTTTGAACCGGTCAGACATAATCTATGTTGACCGAAGGCACGGAAAGGGCTGCTAATAAGAGCCCTCGGCCTAGCAGCCACCTTGACCTTATAACCCGTTTAAATAATGGTCCAAGATGACGGCGCGTCCTATTCATCTCGCATGGGTTTCTCACCACGATCGTAAAACGGCTCGAGACGTTGGTCGCAAACCTGAAGAACTTGAGGCGGGAGCTCCTTCTCGAGGACGGGGCTCGGTGGTGCAGCGCACTGGCCAAAATATACCCCGACAAACAGGCCCCTCAAAAACAAAAAGGCCCCTAGTCACAATTCCCCCGACTGTTCCTCATGCAAATGATTGCTCAGACTCTAGGTACCTCAAATTTCAGCAAGTTCATCTTGATTCTACACCCTCCATTTTTTTTTTCTTTTCTGTCGATTGTTTTCTTGGGCTGGAGCGGAAGGCTTCGTGAAGATGACTTGGAGCCGATGGGGTGGAGGGTCACCACATGACTGGTTGTCTACTGCGCCAGTATGCGCAGCTAGGCAGCGACGATCTCATGGAGTTCAGTTGAGGTTCTGACAGACACAACCTGTACTTCTAGATTTCTACAGCCTATTGCGTTTTCGTGGAGTTCAGTTCTGCTTAGTTTGGTCTAAGTTTTACTCCATGAACTACACTAATGTATGTGTTTAAACCTATCACTTGAGAATTAGAACAAAATTTTAAAATAGACCTTTAATTTCACCTTGAGATAACACCATCGTCTTTGGGAACCGGACCTGGCACAAAATAATCTAGAAAACTGCAACCATATAACAACGAAGTAGATTTAACCTCTCTCATCTAACCATATATAGTAACAACACAAATACATATGGCTCTCGTTTTCCTTTTTAGAAACAATACCAGACATATGTTCCATAGTGGTTTTACACATACATATTATGGATACAAAAATGCTTGCAAATCCATCCTTCTATGCGGCGACAGATTTTGGACAAGACTGCCAATGCGAAACCCACTCCAAACCCCAAGCCAACAAATGTGAACAGAAGGATGGCGTCAAGTCTGTCCTGCCACAAACTTTTGGATTCTTGATGGTCTATCGCTTTTGGAGTAGTTGAACCAGGATTGTCACATTGTTTAGGCACTTGACTTCCACAAAGGCCAGCGTTGCCTTCAAAAGAACTGTATGGAAACGAAAAGAACTGGTTTCCCTCTGGTATTCTTCCAGTCAAGTTGTTGTATGAAAGATTCAGCCAACTGAGAAAAGTTAGAGAGGTCAAAACTTGTGGGATTTCCCCTGAGAGATGGTTCAAGAGAGATCCATAGATTCCAGCCTAGTCAAGTTACCCAGCTGTGATGGAATCTGTCCCGTGAAGTTGTTGTGTGACATATTAAGTCCATGCAGTGAAACAAGCCTGCCAATTGACTTGGGAATGGAACCATTAAATGTGTTATCTGAGAAATCAATTACTTTCAAAGCGGTCTGGATTTTGGTCAAAGTAAAATCAAAATTTTTGTATGTGGTAGTGAAAATATCTTGATACATTTCATCCTTTGGCACTGGGTGTTTGTAATAGTGCTCTAAAGTTTGTCCCTTGTCATTGTTATTATTCATCATAGATCTTAAACCCACAAACCATTCTTAATGCAAGTAACCTGAGAAATGGTTGGAGGATAAATCAATTATTTGCAAACTTGAGAAACTTTTATTACTTTCATTGACACTATGAAGATCCCTTATAGTGCCATTGAGTTGGTTAGATCTCAATACAAGAACTCGAAGGTTTGGAAGAGTACCCGCCCAAGCTGGAAATGAACCAACAATATGATTATTACCGACATCAAGGAACTCTAAATCTTGACAATTTTCTAGTGATGTAGGTAGCGTACCTTCAATTCTATTTCCATTTAGATCTATTGTTTCAAGCTTACATCCTTCTCCAATATTTTTTGGCAGCACCCCATGCAATCTGTTTTCTCTTAATTTTAATACAGTCAGGCTTCCTCTTTCTATGAGACATGATGGGACTGGTCCGCCAAAGTAGTTGTAAGATAAGTCCATGATATCAAGTTTGTTCAAACTACAAATCGATGCTGGTATATGGCCCCTTAATTTATTCTTGGACAAATTGATATAGATGGCATTCGTAAGATGCCTGCCAAAGTTAGATACAATGGAGAAGCTATTGTTTGAGTAATCCAACACAACAACCCTAGACCGGGTTACTGGTATTGGTATGGTTCCTTCAAGTCTATTAGAACTGAGATCAAGAAAGGCTAAAGTCGTCATATGAACAAGAGAAGGTGACTTCTCTAATGTAGTCAACATATTGTGTGAAAGATCCAAAGTGGTAAGTTGGTCCTTCCAGTTCTCCCACACCCAACTTGGTATGGCCCCTTCAATTTGGTTATTAGAAAGGTCAAGGTCTGTAATAGTGTCAAGATATCTCAATGCAGCTGGAAGTTTTTTTAAGATTGCAAGATGCAAAAGCTAAGTACTCGATATTAGGAAGATAAGGAGCTATAGTATCACCTTTGGTGTCTATGAGCGATATCAAATTGTTAGACAGGTCAAGCTCAGTGAGATTTGTCAACCCCCAGATAGAGCTAAGTTTTATTGTACCCATCAATTTATTTGAGTCGAGATACAGATACTGAAGGTTTCTAAGCTGAAAAAGTGATTCTGGTATTGGGCCTGCCAATTGGTTATCACTTAGGATAATTGTGTTGATTTGCGACAATCCTGAGTATAAAGGATGAGGAAAGTCTTCCAAGGAACCGGAAAGCTGATTCGTATCAAGATAAAGATATTGCAGGGCTGGAAGGGCGAACAGAGACTCTGGAATGTTTCCTGCATGCAAGGCCGACAGAATACTAGTCAGAACATTCCAAATTTTATTAATGTATAATGAAATCCAGTATGCACTTGTACTTAACATAACAATATTCTTCATTTTCTCTAAGTAGATGCATATATATTTCAGGATTTTGCTTACATCCTAATAATGCACCAAATTGAAATTGTGACTTTTTTGCACCGTGGAGTTTATTTGTTATGCTAATTAACATTAATGTTTATGCCTTATTTTGGGTCGATCCGACCCATTCCCATCCATATGCCTAAATATCTAACAAATCTCTTAGGGTCTGGTTGAATCCCATAAATTAAAACCAATATCTAAAAATTGCTTCCCATTTTATTATTAAATTATTTTTCAATTCCTCTCAATTCATAGGAACCAAACAGGGTCTTACAAGAAGTCAAGAATGCTTCCAAATTCCTAAAAAAACAAGCTATTCCACAGTATTTTCAGGATTTGAAGGAACTCATTCATTTGTTTCAGAAGGCCTCAGAGAACAATTTTCGTATATATCATTCAAATAATTCAACTTTTTTTTGAAAAGATTCAAATAGTTCAACTTTATCTTTGTTCCACAAGAGCATAAAAGTCTAATCGACCTCTTGTTCCCCTCCCTCTTTTAGCCTCTTGAATCTTGACCATTTAAGTACGGCATGTAATATTGATTTATGAAGAAAGCAATTGAGATTTTAGAGTCTCA